GCCCTCCAACGCTCTCCGTCGACTCAGTCTGCCGGAACCTGGAACCCACGCCTCTGCAGCAGGTCTGCGCTTCCACTCTCCCTTCCTGAAATCAGACGTTCTGATTCCTCTTACCAATCTCCGACCATCGTACCCTTACGCCTTTCCCTTTAAATAAACTTATTTAACTGATTTTGTTCTCCTGAGCGTGTTCTTGCATGTGGGTAAGAAAACTTGAACCCGACATGACAGTTTCTGCTTTTCCACCATCTATTTTTTTTGGCATTCTTTTAAGGGTTTCATTTAGTCAAATTAATTTTATTTACTGGTAAATGCAGCAAATACAAAAAGTAGTAGTTGTCATGTTTCATTTGTCAACAGGAAAAGTTTTCTAAACCAACCTGAGCCTGTGTGAAAAGGCTCAGGTTGGTGCAACCTAAAAACTGGTTGTGCCTCTTTTGGTGGCAACAACTGAAATCAAGTGTTTGTGCAAACTCTGGTCCTCTGCTCTGAGCAGGAAGGCTGCCATTCATTGGTAGACCTCCTGGTGTGCTTTGGATGGCTGGTTGCTAAACGTTTCTCTAAGCTGATACTCCAGTTTCTACCTTATCTGAGTAAAAGAAAACAGTATTTAAATGTATTTTGTTCATTTGCATAAGAAAGATAACAAAGAGCTCAGCCAAAAATCCCCAGCACACATCTTCTGCATGAGCTTCAGCCAAATGCTGCAGAGTCGTAGACCACGACCTTTTGGCTACGCCGTTCCATCTGAATCCTCAACTAATCTGTGATGCGAATGACACAAATATCCATAAAGGTGGTTTTCTTACAAACCAGATTTTTCCCCTTTTCCCTTTTTTATACCTATTTTTATAATGTAAACATATCTTTTCACCTGAAAGTATCAAGTTATATCTTATAAAGTTTTAATTGTTGAATACAAATTTCGGGTTATAAGACTGCTGTCATAAATAAAAAAAATAAAAAAAAAAAAACAAACAAAAAAAAAACTAGTAAAATAACTGGAAATAAAACCTGATGAAAACTTCTGCTTGCCATTTTTGTTGGAGTTACTGTCGCGCAAGCCCTGAAATGAAACTGGTGGCTGACAATGTCTGGCTTAGATCAGACCTTTCATCCCCACTGTTGGATTATAAAAACTTAATCAGCTCCAAAAATTGTCAAAAAATGTCAATTCTGATAATAATAACCAAAGGCAATAACTTTTGGTTTGTCTTGTGATAAAAAAAAGAGGTCAATATTTATTTCTCTTCTTGCAAAAATAAAAAGCTGCTTATGGGACAAATGAAGATAGTCAGAAAACAAAATTACGCCTGACCTAAAAAAAAAAGTACGATAAGGAAAACTTTGATGTAGAGATTTCCGTTCAAAGTAAAGTGTAGGGGTTTGTATCCAGGCATCAAAGTACACAACTACAGAAATAATTATCTACGTTACACAAGATTTCTGTTAAAGCTTGCCAAAGAAGTTCAGATTTCATCAGCATTCTCTTTGGTCTGTCGATGTTACATCGAATATCCTCTTGCACTGATAATTTATCTGCAACAGAAAAACTGAAAACTGATTTTTGATCTTTTAACAACTACTGTTTCATTTTTCTTGTGTCAAAAACCAACTGCAACAGCATAAATAGCAGTCTCTATGGCATCTTATTTAAATGTTTTTAAGTTTATAAGCCTCTATGAAGATCAACAGACCTAATATTTTGATCTGATCAATCAACTAAAACATCCGTCTAGGCGCTCACCTGCTAACTCAGGGATTTTACTGATCGAGAAAAACGTGAGAATCACGACTGGAACAGCCATGAGAAAGATGTCTGGAGAACTGCAGCTTCAGTGAGCGCAGGAATTCCAGATCTAAATTGTCACACAGAAACAGACGGTGGGAAATGGCTGTACACTGGCTTGGTTCAAAGAAGCGAAGCTGTCCCACGAGTCAGATTTAAAGTCTGATATTAAACCGGAACATATTTCGAAAGCGGAGCTTTCAAAGTAAGAAATTCTGAGACAGACAGGAATCATCAGAGAAGACGCATCGTTTGTTTGTCTAACTGCATCACGTATCTCGTAACATACAATCGGTTCGCACCAAGAAAACTTTTCATAGTCATCCATTTGATGGTAAACTCGTCTGGAAAGAGCACGAGTTGTGCTAAAGTAAATTTATCCAGTTGACCCCCGGTGTGCTAAAGAGATGCTACACAACGCACAGAGGAGCTGCGCTGTGTCACACGATTCTAATCAAGAGCTAGGCAAATTTGATAAGAGCCGAGGACAACGGGTCTTTTCATCAGACTCAAGAAAATAAGTTTTCATCTGAGAGCCTTGGGTATGATATTAAATAACTTGGAGAGCAACCAGACAGCTGACACCCGACACAAATAAACAGCAAATACACTCACATGGTGCTAGTCAGTGCACAAAGCACATGTGGATTTCTGCGTCACGTTGAGCTCGATGATGAGCAAAGTTAATAAAAGCTACAGGACAACAGGGAGTCAAACTAACTCTTTTATTTTATTACAGTGCAATAGGAAGTCAAATATGTAGAAGTAATCTACAAAATGTACATTTTTGAGTATGTCTCCATTTTACAATCTATTTTTATAGCGAGGGACGACACAATGCAGCCAGTTCATGAGGAGAGGTTTGGGTTTATTAGAATGAGGTTTATTTTAACCACATTCCTGGGAACAGTAGAAATATATATTTTTTATTTTTTACAAATTGTGTTTTACAGGATCTGAGCAGAATGGAGTCCATGTTTCAGCAGACTTAGCTCCATTATTCTCAAAGTACTTCCAAATTATTAAAAGGATTTGTTTGCTTAGTCGTGTTTTTTTCATCCTGTTATAACTGAGTGTCATCCAGTCAATCTTTGTCAACCTAACAGGGCAACTCAGGGACTATTTCTCTCCTGATAGTGAATGATTAGTAAGACAGACTTTGTTTTGACTAAAAATGACACGGCGTTGTCATATTGCAAGATCTTGTTTGCACACATAGTTTTGAGGTATTCACCTGAAATATGGGATGTAAGCTCTCTGTTTTTTTTTTTTTTATGCCTGAATAAGTTTTGCATTTAAAAAATGCTTATTCAGGTCATTTATCTGAATATATAAAGCTTTTTTAGCCACACCAAACACTCAAAACGCTTCACACTCCAGCCAGATCCGCCCAATCACGCTCACAAACACACATGCATATTGATAAATTGATACACAGATTGGTAGGGAACTTGTCCTGACATGCCTTGTCCAGAGACGCATCAGCATGTGACAGGAAGAGGCTAAAATGGAACCAACAACTTTCATATTGCAAGATGTCTACTCAGATAATAGACGTCCATCATCTAACGAGATAATGTTAGACGATGGATAACGACTCAGATGATTTATATAAACTCAAAATGACAGCAGCTGGCATTTTACTCTCCAGGTTTGGAAATAATTCACAAGTCTACCATTTTTTCCGACACACTTAACTGGTATGTGTGAAACATTTCCCCTCAATACAATACATGGTTTGATTGATGCTTATTTTCCCCCAAGTTGTACCATTTTATGTTAGCTCTTGTTTTCATTGGTGGTGTTTCTGACCTGAGTTATGATCATTTAACTCTTATGAAGCTAGTGATGGTATTAACTGAAGACACAACGTAATGTCCATGCTGTAGATCAGGCATCTCAAACCCCAGTCTCTGAAGGCTACTGTCTTGCAAAACCTTGTCGAGGTTAATTGCTGAAGAGGTAATTAAACACAATTGTTGTTTTATTTCAGCAACATTTTGCAGTTTAAAGTCATACAACAGCCTCTTGATTAAATTTAAGCCCAAACTTTTACAAGGTTATTTCAAAAGTGTTATAAAGGACCTAAAAGGACAAGAGAATGGAAATACATTTTATTTAAAAGTCTTCATTTACCTCCGAGAATGCATACACTAAAAAAACTCAGCAAGTTACCATGCAGGAGGCAGAGGTCATGACCTTCCCTTCGCCCCCCTCTGTGCCAGGTCAAGAGGTCAGGAATGGCACAACATAACCACCCTGCAGGATCTCATTTTAGTTTTTTGTTTTTTTCTCTTTCCCTTGTTAAGAACCTCAAAATTACAATATTCTGCCGCTGAACGGCAAAGTGACTCACTTTTGCAGCAACTTTTATCTTTTGTTGATGTTTTCTGAACCAGTCATGCCAAGAAGAAACAGAAGAGCCCTCCTACAGAAGGAACTCCCCAACCCAGACCACACCAGACACTCCCACTGGAAACACACGCTGAAAAATCTGAACAGTTCCAACCAGGACAAACCCAACCCAGAGGGATGGGATTGATTTTCTGTCGTAACTGCAACCAGGCAGCATTTTTGTAGTGAAAAAAAAAAATCATGAATATGTGGGAAATAAAACTTACAGCCTGCACTGTCCAGGCGAGGGCGGCGAGGAAGAGGCAGAGAAGCAGCACCCTGTTGATGAAAACACACTCTTATGAAACCCAATGGAAACTATTGCGCTTATTTTAAATTCTGGAAGCTGTTAATGATGCGCTTACCTCAGATTTGTATGCTCTCTATCCTGCTGCCTTTGCATGGTCGCACTCATGCGGTGCGCAAACTCAAGTCCCGCGCCGCTTCTTCACCTTTGAACGCTCACTTAAAGCATCTTTACTCAACCTGTTGCAAGCAGAAGCAACTAGTGTTTATAAATGGTTGAAAAATGCATAATATCCACAAATCTAAGCAGTCAGAAACATTTGTCTCTTAGTCCAATCATCTCTCAAATGTTCCCCGGTGCAAAAACAAGCACTCTAGTTTGCAGTAACGCAAAAGATAAGCATGTTTTCTTTAATCCAGTGGTATAAATAAACAGTTTTATAAACTTGCACAACTTACGGCCGCCTCTGTTACGCGCGTAATGGAGTAGAGGTATCACGGGCTGGAGAGATGCTCCGGTTCCAGAGCCAGAGAAGTCACCGGCCCCGTCACCAAAGTGATAAAAACTGCCCTAGAAAATCCCGCAAAAATAAAGCCCCCAAAGTGTCCCGAGCAGTTCCTCTCCGTACAGAGAAAAGTCAGAGTGTTTGTAACAAACAAGGTTTAGACTCTGTCTGTCCGGACGAGAGGGTGGTCGTTTTGGAGGAAGGTGGGAGGTGTGGTGCAGCGGGAACAAGGAGCAAGTTGCATTGATCAGAAGTTCACATCGTCTCAGACAAAGATGCAGCTGAACGCACCGTTCGTGCTCCGCAGATAAGCCGCGAGTTAACCGAGGACAGAGGCAGAGGAGCGGGCTACAGGGGCTGACTGAGCGCGCCGCAGTTTCACACGATGCTGTCACCGCTGCTGCTGCTGCTGCTGCTGGCGGCTCTCTACTGCAGCTTAGACCTGACGCGGGCTGAGGTGAGTCCATGCAAGTTTGCGTTGAACTCAGATGGAAACTTGTGCTAAAAATATATATTAACTGGCATCAGCTAAGTCTACATTAAAGCTTTTATATCCAGTTGTATGCTCCTATCACTAAACAAGTAAAAAGATTTTAAGGGGCATTCAAGTGTTTCACCTTAGGGGCCCCTCGATACTAAAACCATATTTGTGTGCAGAAGTGTATGGGCATTTTATTCAAAATACAACAGAGTTATTATGTTAGCAACATGCTTCGTTTTACTGTTGTGAAACTTCGTGAGATCTACTGAGCTCTGGTTCCTCCACCTCTGTTGGAGGGAACTAGAGGGAAGGAGAAGGAGGAGGGCATAGGGTGGGGCAAACGCCTCCAGTAGCTGAAGTTTCTGTGTGGGACTAGATTGTTCTTTAGAAAGGTCTGGCAAAGCAATAAGGGACGCAGAAAACTGTGTGCAGATCTGACTGTTGTTGTTTTAGGGATAGTTCAATTCTTTTTTTTTTTTTTTAATTGATGTTTTGATCTTGGATACACTGTAGAAAAAAAAAATATTACCTTGTTACTCTGTGCTATAATGTTCAGATAACTTAGATTTAGTGGACGTTATCCTTCTTTCTTATTAGCTGGCATGGAATGATTAACTCTGTGTAAATGTTTGTTTTACATCATGTTGATTTGTTGTGAATATGAATTGAAGCAATGTTCTGTGTAGCTTTCACAGTTCACAGTTTACATCCAGTGCTTACATTGAGTGGTAGTTCTTTCACGAACAGTACCAGCAGTGTTTCTTGTTGTGGGAGACATGACTCGCCACATAGGGTGCCAGGAGTGTTCATTTTTAGCTTGGTTCTGAGTCAGCCGTGCCCCAAATGATTGTTCTTATTGCTCTTGTTTTATTTGCATTCAATGGGAATGAGGTGCCTCCATGTTTTGTGCAGAGAGTAAGCGGTAGAAGAAAATATGGCAGTGATGCCAGTGATGCTCTCTGATTAAAGCTTTTGATTTGGTGCCACACTAAAAGTTTACATCTCAGTTTTTTACTTATTTTGGTCATCGCTAGTTCAAAATATAAGCTTTAGTCCTTATATACTACACATAGCAGATTTTTTAAAGACAGGTTAGCATTGATGATATTCAACTTCCCATGTAAAATAAATGGGCCTTAGATCACTTTTACAGACATTTGTTTAATTCACAATTGGGCCATTTTAAGCTGACAACAAGAAATCCTACTGCATGTCCAACCTCTGATGCTTGGGAACGTCAGAGGTTCCCAAACTGTAGGGCGTGCCCCCTAGAGGGGGCGCGGGCAGCCGTCTGGATGAAAAAAAAAACCAAAACATGAATGCTGTATGCGCTGGGTTTTTACCTTAGAATGGCCAACTCTCTGTTATTCCTATGTCAATTTGATACAGTAGAGGCTTCCACACTTCCCATATTTGTGTCCTCTGTCAGTTTTATCAGCAGTTAAAACTGTTTAATCCGTTCTTAACATGTGGTAACCTGTTTTTCCGAGCCGCCTTTAAACGCAACATGAGCGCTACAATGCTCGCCCTGGGTTTAGACCAGTGAAGGAGACCTGCTGCTGCTGTGCAGAGCTACGCAGGTTTGTGTTAGAATCACGGCAGCAAACCAGCAAAACGCAAAGAACTTTTCACAGTTTTTCCCTCCAAACTAACCGACTGAGTTGAGTAAAGCTGTTGGATGCAGGTAATGTTAGCTAAAAGACGACTAGCTAATACATCACCTTAAGCTTAACAAGTAGCCTGTAGGTTACTGATTTTGTTGTCTATGTTCAGCTAGGTACATTTATTTTGCCACCAAAAAAGTCGGTCCCCCCCGCCCCTCCTTGTTCTTAGAGACAGGGAGTCTCTAAAAATCCTTCCCCCCCCACAGCGTCGCTCAACCAGACAGCCATTTGTAATACATAGGGGACCCCAGAAAAAGTTTGGAAACCACTGGTTTACATAATACAGTTTGGAATTATGAAATCCATTTAAAATTGTGATAAAACTGATATATTTTTTTATGGTAGGATACAGAGGTTCAACCAGGCCCCATTCATACAGGAACTGCCCTTGACCGGCGCCCTGCTGAGCCCCACCTTCTGCACATAACAATACGTCACCCTCCTCCTCAACAATGCCCATCCTGTGCCTGTGTATAACAATGTATCGGAAAAAAAATGCTTCAATCTTAGCTGCAATGTGAAAAAAAACCAGAATAAAGTTAGCCTTAATCTTGAATTGTCTAACCAGTCCAAGTATGCAGGACGTTGAACTACAGATGTTAAAAATATGTCCAGACTCATTAAGAAAATATTAAAATATTTCTTTATTTTTGGGCCAGACATTTCTAATTAGTAGACATGCGAATAAGCAACACAAAAGGTAGCATTATAACTCTCTTCATGGCGTCCTCTTTGGCCTCATAGGAGAAGGTAGTAAGCCCATTTCTCAAACTTCAATCTTTGAACACAACTCTGAATAAGTTGGACACGATGTCAACAGCTATCTCACAAGTCTTCCTTATCCAAACTTTTTCCTGGAAGGAGAAGAATTGCTCTCTGTTCTGGGAAGAAAAAAGAGTACTGAGTAAATGAAGGAATGGGGAGAAAAGGGGAAAAATTCACCCCATTTCCTCTGAAACAAGACTAACACAGCATGTATAACACTGAATGCAATATTTAGTTCTTACCACATGATGCATTTTTTCCCTATTACTTGCAGTGAATTAATTAGTTGTTTTTTTTTACATGGTCATCTAATTAGTGTTTCATTAAGAGTGAATACTGACTCATAATTTCTGAACCCCTGGAAGATTTTGAAGGAATTCTACACTGTAAAAAAATAAGATCATAATAATAATTTCAATTGCCACATATAATACATTTGTTCTGCACAGTTCATCTGAAAAACAAATAAACCTACAAGATGGCATAATCTAAAGAATAAAAAGCTCAATGTACCTGGTTGCAAAAGTTTGTTGCGTGGATCCCCCGGCTTTCACAGTTCAGTATTTTTATGTGGAACTTAATTCAAAATTATTCATGGAAAATTGACCTATTTGCTAATTTTTCTATGTAGAGGATATCGAAAATGTCTTGACAAACCATTGACTGACGTTTGCAAACCAGCCAATCCCGAGTGGCATTTTTATTCCTTGCTGCTGATTGGCTGTACACCCCAGGATCAGCGATAAGGAAGACTTGTACATTATTTTAATGCTAAGATGGTTTCCATGTGTCTATTACTGCATGTTAAAATATATTTGGTGTTTGACCAACTACTATAGACAGTGATAAAGCACTCCTCAAATATTCACCGAGCAGAGAGCAGCTCTCTTGTTTTTGTCCACAAACATGCAACAGACACAGAACATCTGGACAGACGCTCGTATCCGTCCAAATAACTTGTTGCTAATCAGACGACAGCAGTGAAACTGGAGTATTTTAACATTCTGGATTTATTGTTGTGAGCTGAATGTGTTCCCGTCCACCCATGGGAGGTCCACAGCAGGAGGTTTGTGATCCACTCAGGCCTCTCATCAATCCCGAGCTGCTCTCCTGCACAGTGGGACGGTTGTCTCAGACCTAACTAAGCTCACAAGCTGATGTTAAATTTAGCAGAAAATCTAATATGATCCTTGCAATTTCCATAAAGGGCTTCAGTTTGTTTGACTTCGACATCAAGATGTAGAGACACGTGACACCGATGGAAGATCAGAACCTTCTGATGAAACAGATCAGGGTCAAGCAAAGATGTACCCAAATATATGATAACCTTTGACCCGTAGCAGGTCAGGCTGACATCGGAAAAGGCGAACATAAGAGGCAATATCCTAAGAAAATTTCTCAAGAATTTGTTTGCTACTCAAAACATGGAGTCAGGCATTTAAACTGGTCAGAAAGAAGTATGAGTGTTTCTTAAAGGAAGCAGAGGGCAAATCAACAAATTCCTGGAATAAGTGTTTGTGTGTGGGATGTTAGGCGGATGGACCATTGCAGCTGTTGGGAAAGTCAAGTTTCTTTCTGCTAGCTAGTTCAAAACTCGCCTCTGATGTTCAACACAACCCTAATGTGACTGACAGAGGCATCTATCCTGCTCCTCAAACAGCTTGCTGAAATCTAAGAGCTGATTTGTTGTTCTTGCTGTCCGTACGCGTCGACAGGCCTGATCCTGTAGACAGCCCCCCCACACAGGCAACAGCTGAATCTGCCCCTGTGACTGACCACCAACCACGCAATGCAACGCTGGGAATCCACAACCTGCCTGTTGTAAAAATGTCTTCATTTGGAAGAATTGTGCCCATCTTTTAGTCTCCTTATTTTAACAGGCGCCTCTGGAGAGCAAAGATAACTCTCCCCTGACCTTGTTACTCAAGGGACTGTGGCAGGTATGTCCTATTTTCAGAGCAGCCTGAGAGTCTGTTCTGTCACAGAGAAGATTAAACAAGTAGCCTAAAAGTAGTTCCAACTCATGCAACATGGGGGATGCATTTCATTCAAATCTGTCTTAGCTGCTGTTTTCTCCAAAACACCTGTTCTGTTCTGCACAATAATATTTTCCACTCTTTAAGACAGACTCGATCCTTGGGATTGTTAATATCCTGAGGCGCGTTACAGTGCTGAAAATTCATTTTAGCTACTCCAGTGTGTAATTAGTGAGTCATAAATGACCTTTGTGGTTTGGACAGAG